GAGAATGTTACACCTTTTATTCAAAAATTTACACATACCCAGTATAAACCAAACACTGTTCTAAACACCATATAGATATTCATTTTTTACTAATATAATGTCAGGAATAGTAAAGGTTATAAATAAACAATAAGGCAAAGTAAGGGCAGAGAAAATCTTGAGGGATGTTATTTAGAGAGGATTTCAGAAAAAGGCTTTGGTAAGCAGATACATGCATGATGCAATTTCCAAGAGGAAATCATTTTAAATTATAAGAGAGCAAGTCATAAGTAACTAAGAATTAGATTCACTGTTATAACCCACCAAAAAAATAAGACTTAGAAGCTTTATATATTATGACTTCTATGCTTAGATTTCAGACATTTATTATTCTATTAATATCAAAAAACAGATATTATGTTTCTTAGAAAAACAAAAGCAGACTCACTGTGTATGCATGTGTCACATTTAAAAGGATTTCTAAAATCTTATAATGTATAGGATTTTCAGTTCAGTCTTGCTGAAATATATTCTACATCAAATCCTCCATGAGCCAAAAGTCCATAACCTCAGAATCCATGATCAAATTCAGAATTATCAAAGGATTTTAGCACCTTCACATACCTTTACTGATCTTAATGTGATAAGATTTTTAAGCTCATGTGAAATCTGCTATCTGCCAGGCAGTAGAAAGTATTGAAATCAGATGGAAAACATTTCTTTCTCTGTAATTGTACAGTCAAATGAGAAGGTAGACACACAAACCAATGAGCAGGTGCTATGAGTTATTTAGTGCTATGACAATAGGAGGCTGAAGGGGAAAAAAAAGGGCAAGGAAGATTTCTTGGTATGGGTAACCCAACATAAATCTCTAATGATGAGTTAACAGTGAAAATAAGACAAAGAAAATTTCCAAGGACTGAGAATATGTGTAGAGGCTCAGTCAGTATATTCAAGAAATGAGAATGGTTTTGTAAGACAACTTGAAAGCTTCTTAAAGAGAAAAATCAGACACTGAAATTAGAGACCAAAAACTTATTGTGCTATTTTAAATAACTTGGCATTGTGCTAAAAGCAGGAGAGAGACATTAAAGGATTTTAATTAGTAATAGGCTATTTTAGAGAGATAGTTTTGCCAATATTTTCCTATCACCTCCCTATAATCAGGTAAAATTTCATTTTCCTTAAACACAAATTAATTTAAATTTGCATTCATTAAACACATCCTATCTAATAATAGACAAAAATAGTAATCGACCATACTTTCACTATGCTTCCCATTGGCTAATCAGTGTGATATGCAAATTAACCACCAACAAAGATGGTGGCCAATTTGCATACTGCAGGCAGATCCAGCTGCGCTGCCCCGTCTGGGGCTGGCAGCAGTGTGATTCCCAGCCGCCGGCCGCCCCAGTGTGAGATCCTGGCATGCCGTGTGCGGGGCGGGCGGCAGCGTGATCATGAGCCGCTGGCCTGCCCCAAC